CCCCCCCCCCTCTCCTGATAAAAACTAATGGTCCCCTGGACCGTTGGAAATGGCATTTTCAGAGTCTTTCCTACCCAATATTTCAATATTTTAGTATTGCTTAACAATGAAGATAAGTATCGCTATATACTTACAGTTTAATGTGGAGGAAGAAATTAAGAAAATTTTGGAAATTTGCCTCCAGATCGTCAGAAAGGGTTTTGGGCAATTGCCCCAAGGAAGCATGGGGCAAAGTGACCCCAACCCAGTTTTAGTCCTGACTCACGGATAGCATGCATAAACTCACAAATTATAGTGAAAGAATTAATAAAAGGGCCTAACAAAAGAAGTAAAGAAGACTCTAAAAATGCCATTTCCGACGATTTAGAGACGCAAAATGTTCAACATTTTCTCGCTATGAGCCAACCATGATGGCGCTTCGTGTGAGTCTGGCCCTCTAAGTTTATCAAGCTGCCAGCCTGAGTTGTGGTATCTACATAAACATACCATGCAAGTACTTCACTACAGCATAATGTAATACTGAATATCCAGAAATCTGTTTCCCGGCCGAAAATGCCGGAATTGCAGCCATATACGGGTAGAAAAATACAAATATTTTCTGGGGGGAAACACCCCCAGATCTCACTTTTCTAGTAACCGAATCGACCTGACCGTGCAGCTCAGTTGGCAGAGCATTCGGCTAGTATTCCAAAGGTCGTAGGTTCGATTCCAACCGTGGCCAGGCATATTTTTCAAGCTTGCCCGGGCATTAATCTGTTTATATATGTGTAATAATAATATAGCAATTGTAAATTCTGAAAGGTGATTGGCTAAGAGCCGTGTTGATATAACTCAATGTCAACACGGATAACATCGGAAAATTTCCTTCTTTATGTTTTTTTGTGCATGTTATAAAACAAATATAAAACTTTTCTGTATTGACATACTGTTTTATAAAATAGCCTTTTAAAAACACGGTCCCTGATTGGTCAAAAGCTCAAAAAACCTGTGTTTCTATAACTCGATAAAAACACCGGGAATTTTCACGCGCGTTGCGTGGATTGCGCGGGAGTTTAAAAGACAAAATACAAACAATATTTAATTTTGAAAAAATGTTGACAAACATCCGAAAACGCCGAAGAACCGTTACAAACAAGGCAACACTTTGCTAACTTAGAAAGCAAAGACCTAAAGCACAAAGTATAGTAGCACACGTTGTTTTTGTTTGACTGACAGTATCTTTTCAAATTTATCTTTTCTACTGTTTTTAAAAGGCCATTTAATTAACAAAGGAAATAGAGTTTCTATAGAGTTTATAGAAACACTTGTGAATAAGATGTGATGTTACTCTGAGTGTGTATCCACACCGGGCAGGCTTGAAAAATATGCCTTCCCATGATCACCGTGGCCAGGCATATTTTTCAAGCCTGCCCGGTGTGGATACACACTCAGAGTAACATCACAAACATCTTATTCACCTGAGTACACTACACCAACACAACAAATATAACACTTGTGAAAGTTTGGAGAAATCGAAGTTGCGTGATGCAATTTCTCTTTTCTCCCGCGTCTTTCTATAACTCTATAGAAACACGGAAAATGTTTTCTATTTCTAAAATATCAAAACTCGCGGAAATTGGGAACACTCGGAATTGTTTGAAAATACTCCGCCCTTCGGGCGTCGGTTTATCAGGCACAATTACTGTATATTACTGTTTATTACTGTTTACATGGCACAACCGAGTAACTGACCTTTTAATTTTCCCAACCTCTCGTGGTAAAGATCTCAAAAATTTATACTGTAACTATCCGTTCGATTTAGTTCCATTGTCCAGCATATTAGTTCCATGCAGAAACATGCCTTATTACTTAATATATTTTTCTAATTCTATAGGAGCAATGACGGTGCATTTTTTGAAAAAAGAAAAAGAAGGCAGGTGGAGACTGGCGAGAGGAACACTGTGTTACAAAATGAAAGACGTCGCCATCGTGTAGCTGACGTAAGCATAAAAATTCGCTCAATTTAATTCCTGTAATATGGCTCAGCATTCCCGTCATCCATTGTTTTACGTACAGATAAATTTAATAAATCCGATAAGTTATTAAAATTATCTACGCACATTAATTCATTTGCTTATTTCGTCATTACTGTACAGTTACGGAAATTCACTTTTTTCGGTGGGGTGCAAACAGTGGCGTAGCCAGCCCGACAATTTAGCCCCGCTATGCAAATTAAAAATTATTACATTATTCATTTCTTTAGAAAATGAGAGGCTGTTTTTAACCCTCTTTTAGGTCAAAATTGCCGAAGATTCGTCATTTTCCCTGAAGTTGGGTTTCTCTCCTCCCCCGTCCGACCGAGGTTTCGGCCACTGTTACTGTAACATGCAATAAATTTAATTAGCGTTTTCGTGCCGGTTTGCACGTACTTTCGAAGTATTAATAGAACGAAGAAATCTTCACCGAAATTAAGGTTTAGACTTTTAGCGCATGTGTGTAGATTCCTTTACAAGAAAGATCAATACAAGTTATTTCTGCAGTATAGAGTTAATCTTATATAGCAGTAGGGATGATATACTACAACGTTGACTGATAAACCACAGGCCAAGCCAAGTAAAAATTGAATGATGGGGCACGCTTTTCGTGATTTTCTCTTCATCCCCCACCTGCTTCTTATCTTCTATATCACAAATATTTACTTTTAATCACGTTCTTCATCCTAGTATGTGCCTGGTACTTGATAAAAAATGTATTAATAAGGAGAATTTCTCACTACATTTATATAGAAACTTCGTCGTCGGTTCGACACGCGTAATAAAACATCAATATGGCCAGAACCAGAAATGAGGGCGAGTATAGAAAGGGCATGAAAATGCATTGCATGTCCCCAGAAGAGAGCGAGAAGGAACTTGTGCAACAAAACGAATCATCTGGGTCGGAAGAGGAAGATGAGCCTCAAAGAATAAGCAAAAAAGTAATCAAAATCCACCCACTATCTTGGCGCAGCGACAGATTCATCAATCTCTTGGAATCGTTGGACCGAAAGTTTTGTTGGTGTGTGCTGCAGGAACTGACATTCCTAACTGCATGGATGGCCAAGATTTAGATTTTTAAAAGAATACATTTTATTCAACTTGTATTTTTATATGCATGCACTATAAATTTTCATTTATTCAGCTGTGGTTGAGTAATAAGCAAGAATTGTGTGAAGATTTTCGGATATCCGGAATTGTCATGTTTTACTGCTCAGGGTCTTAGCTAGGATTTTAGATCTTGAGCGTGTTTCTAAATGACCAGGGTGTGCACATGTCAATTACCTTGAATAGCCAAATTCACGGTTCTACAACAACGGACAATGCCTGTGGTTGTTCTATGCTTTGCAACCACATACAAGGCGAGCATATACTCATATTGCGCGCTGACATTAAAATATTAAGTTATTTCAGCAACTCTATTTATAACCATGCACTTTAACACTATACGGTTCCCATTATCCATCAAAACATTAAAACATTACGGATCACTTTTGCCAATTTCACAACAACAATAGATTTTACAAACTTTCTTATGATGTAAATAGAAAGAAATCCTGTCTGTTGTAAGTAGCACCATCTTATTTTATGAACCTACACGGCCTTATATAAATAATGAAGCCGCGTTCATTTGATCTAGCCGTGTTTTTTCATTTTTGGCCGTGATAACAGGGCCAACACGGCCCTCTAGCTAAGACCCTGTTACTGCGACATATAAGCGCTATAAGCATATGCTCGAACATACTGTAATTGTCCTTATGTTGGCCAAGACAGTATTATTGCTTTCACCACGATGTTATCAAGAGTGATTGTAGGAACGGAATATTTTGATATTCTTGTGCTTATGGTACGGTTATGCTTATATACTAGCTCGTGCTCATGTTGCGGTCAGAAAAGTAATTTGAGAAACGGACGCATGCAGAGTTTCGTATTAATTAGGCTATTATGTTATACCTTGCTGTTTATTCATTTCTGACCGACCTCGTATTATTCTCAGGTATTTATTCATGTTCCATGCACGTAAGATAAGAACTTACTTGTTATTGAACTAAGGATCAGCGAGAAACAAATATATTGTGTAGGAAACACGGGGAATACAACTTTCAACTTTCAGGTCTAGGTTAAAAGTGAATAAACGAGACCTAGGTTAAGAGTGGATAAACGGTAAAGTCGAATCAAAACGTTTCGTTCCTTATGCGTGTGCTTATGCTTGAGCTTACGCTTAAAAAGCATTCCAGCTAAGAAATAAACATGTTTGATGACCTTTTGCGTTTGTTATATAAACGTATAGCTTTCATTATAATATATGTTCTGTATATATTGTGTGCATATACTATTAAATAACTATAATTATAAACCTCCTTCTCGGTTTATAACTCTTACTTATAAACTGAAATTCCCCTGAATTTACGTCTCTCACTAACACTAGAGCATAATATTTCAAACCAATAAAATAACTGCGGTTCTGTAGATTCTATAAACACATCTAAAGGCCTGATTCGGTGATTCCACGACCGGTTTTTCTCGGCGAAATGCGAAATATTTCGCCTGTTTCTTTTGAATTGTGAGCAATCAAGTATAGAAATAATTTATTCGAGTAGTCGCAATTCAAAAGAAACGGGCGAAATAATTCGCATTTCGGCCAGAAAAAGTGCTCGTGGAATCAAGCTTTAATGTACAAATACGAAACGGTATGTGAATATTTGTGCAAATGTGGAATTTGCATGAAATTTGCCGTAAATTCGAAACGAGTGCCTTTTTGAAAATCGGTACTAAAATTGCACCATGTGTGATATATTTAGGAAATTCTATTTTTGCAATGAAATGCAATGCAAGGTTCAATACTAGGGCCGCTACTTTTTATTCTCTATATAAATGATATTCAAAATTGCAGTCATATAGCATCAATATTGTTTGCTGATGATACAAACTTTAGTCACTCATGCCTCAAAACGCTAAATGAAATTCTTCAGACGGAAGTGGAAAAGATAGCAGAATGGCTTAACACAAACATATTTATTTTAGTTCGATCCTCAAAAAAGAAACAAAAACACGTAGTAACATTGACCATCAATAATGACGATATCAAACAAGTCAAAAGTACGACCTTTCTAGGAGTAGTCATCGATGAATGTTTATCATGGAATGACCATATTGATTCAGTAGCCAAAAAGATAGTAAAGTCTGCAGGAATTATTGCAAAAATACGTCATTTTACTACTTTGAATACTTTAAAACTAATTTACTATGCTTTGGTCTATCCGTATCTAATCTATGGCAATTTAATATGGAGCAGTACATACAAAAAGCGAATTAAAAAACTAATCAATATTCAAAAGAAAATAGTTCGACTAATGACATTCCAGTCTTACACTTCTCCCACTGAAAAAATATTTATTGACCTTCAGATCTTGAATCTAAGTAAGTTAAATAAATATCTCACAAGTCTTTTTATGTTCCAATATCATCATTTAAATAACTTGCCAAATTTCTTCACAAATGTTTTTATTACAAATAGCCAAATTCACCAGCACAATACTCAACCTCGTTCCCAGGGTATTTGCTCTTGGGAAGCAAAGACCCTGGTGGACGCTGGTCACGTGACCCATAGAAAATTGATAGCCTCAGAGGGGGATGGAAAGGTCTCATATTACATGTTCACACTTCGATTGCAAGGAGTGGCCGTTCTGTACAATAATCTTTGAGAATCATATATACTTCAAAATTCTTGCTAAATTGGTTTCTGTTTGCCGTTTTAAATTATACAAACATGGTAAAATGCAGATTCTTATAGTAACAGACAAGTCAGGAAATCAAGCAACGAAAACGTATGACCGTATGGTTTGAAATATTTGCGTTTTTAATATTAATTGTTGTCATATGGAAAGGACACGGTATAAATTTTGTAAAATAGAGGTCTCAAAAGCGACTGACAAAATTGTTTGGAATCGACACTCGACAGTGCACTTTTTTTGTCTTCACGAGTACCTGTTTGTAGAGCCAAAATATTGCACAGAATCTCCTATAAATTATATCGCCATTCACCCTCCCACCTTGAATGCAAAAGAATGATATCCGAAAAGGTTTAGCAAAGTATTTGTTATTATATCTGGTACAAAGTGTCCCTACGTTTTATCAGGGATATATATTATATATACATAATTCATAAACTGTATATGCGCACCAAGTCTCGCTCATAGAATTACTTAATGAGTTTTAATAAGCCTTTTAAAGTTTCTATTGATACTGATAGATAGGTTGTTTGCCTCCAGTATCGTTTGGTGAAACTTCTAAAATTTCAATTACAGTTACGACACAGTATAGGGGTATACGATAAAGATTAAAGACTTAAAGTTGATTTAAATATTGATGACTCACAGCGGCATTATACAAGTCGAAAGAAGCTGGATTTTAAGCTGGATTATTCTTCAAACAAGACGCCTGCTCAGGCGTTCACACTTCCCGAAAAATGAGGACATGCGTGCTACCCTGTATGTCTGTGATGTAATATAGAGAAGGGAATGGGGATGAAGGAGAGCTGGTACCTGTAGAACCCCTACTTTCAGATGAGTGTGTAGAACAGTTTCAAGTCATATCTTGGTTTTATTAAAATATGTCAGGGATTACATCAGCAAGGTTCTGCTACTGAGATACTATTAAAGCCGAAGAGCCAAATTCACACATACATTGCAGATACTGTAGCTTCAAAGCAAAAGTTAACTCGGTAAGAATACTTAAGGTACAACCTGTCAAATATTTTGAATAAGACGCTTGCTCAGGCGTTCACACTGACTGGCCTCAACACGACGCTGTCACACTGATGCATGCTATAAAGCCTCAGGTCTCAGGAAAACAAAGGGTAGTGGTACTGTAGTGGGTTAAGAGCATAGAATCGCACCTAATTTATGCTAGGAGCACGAGTTATTGGTATTTTAGTCATTTTATGCTATTGGATATTATGAAGTACTTATACCAAAGTTAATAGAACTTAGTTCTATTAACTGTGTTTATACTCAAGGACAAGGTTTTTATTTTAATTTATCATCAAAATTGTCTCGTGCTTTTTACCGTCTGTTTTTGGCAGAATTGTATTGCTGTGTCATGACATCAGCCGCTTTGAGGGGGGCCCAGGAAATAGGGCGCAATTTGCCTTTATATTTATTTACATGTATGTCAAATATAAAAGTACATAATTTTCATAAGAAAATAGTAACTTTCATCACTTAAAGTTAAACATTTATTTTTTATCTTGATATTTACAAACAAAAAAGTAAAACAAAGTTGGCTTATTTCAAAGAGTGATTGAAAATATGCAACATGGTCTTGCCCAAAGCTGTGTCTAAAAAAATAAATAATGTGATTCAGAGGCGACAATTAAGGATGCATCGATTGCAATTAAGGATGAACGACGTTGATAAAAACATTGTCTATTCTCACATGAAACTTCAATGTTTGCAAGAGTACTTGATAGATTTTAATCTGATCAGCCATTCACCTTTAACTTCCCTCATGTTGATTGGCTAAGCTAATTGAAACCTTCAAATGCTTTTTACAAACATCAGCACCATTCATCCTTATAGTTGCAATCAATTGGACCGACGGTAGAATCTCAACATAGATATTGAAGTCAAAGTCAACATTAGTCACATGACAACATCAATCACATCATAAAATGAGTCACATCATATCAGTCACATGACAACATTAGTCACATCACAGCATCAATCACATTGTAACATTCAAAAAGGGGTTTATATGAGGGCGAGCCAAGATCTTACAGTGCGTCTACTATAAGTGGGACCACTTTAACAAAGCAAGCTAATAAAGTGCAAGAACAAAAATAGAACATATGATAATGACATAAACATCACAGCAGCTAATCAAAGCAGCTTGGTCTTGCAGTTCTGATGCATATATGGGCTTGTTACAGTATGTCAGGACTGCTTCTGTAATTTAATTGGCCAATCATGCTTTTTCGTTCAGGGGTGATTTATACTTAGGGGCCACATCCATATTCATGTTGCCACACATAACGTTGAATCAATGTTATTGTTTGTACTCACCTCAGATAACGCCGAGCGTGGCATAGTCATATTCTGACTGTGAAAAACATCACAAATAATAAATAAATAATCAATTTATCTTAAAGATGTATTACAACGCCGAAATCAAAATAAAACATGCACAAATTTGTTGGCACTGGAACAACAGCATATACAACCATGTTAAAAGAGATTGTGACATTGTCGACATTCAGTAAGAATTGAAGTTTTTTATCTGTATTTTTATTATATTATAACTTAAATGCGAAAATTTATAATAGAAAGGTTATACTGTAATAATATTAAGAACAATAGTCAAATTGCGACAAGATAACCTCAAAGAGTTAACGTTTAAACCATGCACCCACACTAACATCGATTCAACGTTATGCGTGGCCACATGAAAATGGATGTGGCACCAGAGCCTCCTGTGATAGAAGTGAGGATACAACGAGGAGGCTCTGGTCACACGAGCATCCAGCCTCACTTTGGTGAGTTCAATATTTGAACTCTGTTTGTGATTGGTCAATATTTATGTGAGTCTTTTCATTGGTTAACCAATGAGCGTCGGTTAATCAATGAAAAGACTCGCATAAATTTAGACCAATCACAAACATGCAGAGTTCAAATATTGAAGTCACCAAAGTGAGGCTGGATGCTCGTGTGACAAGAGCCTCCTCGTGGTGCCCTCACTTCTATCACAAGAGGCTCTGGCACCCAGGGTACTTATAGTATAGCACTTTGACCGTAATGACCAGGCTGATACAAAACAATGGTCCATTGAAAATGTGAAAAGCCTGGGAATAGGCAGGGATTTTAATATTTCACAATTGTTAAAATTCAGGTTAATTAAAAATGTTGTTCAGTTGTGAAATCTAATTTAAATATATTATCTTAAGACCTAAACTGAGTAAAACCGAGTTAAATCCCAATATCTTGTTTGTTTATAAACCTCGTGTTAAACTTTACGTGTCATTAAAACTTGAATAAAATGAATTTCTAATG